AATTGTACATCTGTAATCATCTGGTCATTCAATTCAAATGTTATCTTTGTATCAGAGCTAGAAGAACATGTCCTCCTCTCTTTATGACACAGAATGTCTGGTGTGTAAAGGCCTCCTGATACTGTAGATTAGCACTGAGGTGCTGATTGGCTCAAAACTCTTCTTCATCAGAGCGCCATATCTCAATCCCCCCCAATTGCTCTGCTTTTGTGGCTCAATTCAGTGAGCACTTTATGATCTCCCAGTGAAACAGAGGCTCATCTGCCTGCATTCCTTCTGCTATCTGCTTGAGAGCAGTGCACCTGCCTATTCCAAGTGGCACATCCAGATGCCTCTGAAACCATCGCTCGTCCTGTAGAGTTGTCTGCCTGAGCCCACCGAGCAGAAAGATGAAGAAGCATCCCATCTCATCAGAAAGTTGAAGATTAGAATCCTCTCATCTCGAACGACCTCCTTGCCCGTGGATACATTTCTCTCTGCAGCCGCAGAGTGTGATTCTCTCTCTGACCCTTGGCCTTCAGAGCTGTTTAACACTTGATAGGGATGTTTTCCTGAGTGCAGACAACTCAAGGTAATGCACATTATCATTCAATTACAAAAATAGGATAGGCCCCTCAGAATGATTTGGGAGCCTTCCGGACACATGCACATTATAAATGTAAGGTTTGTGTTAGTCATTTAACATGCAAGAATCATATACTCATCTGTCCAAAGCAGAGAAATATTATTTTAAGTTAAATGTGAGCTAGTCCCTGTGGAATAACCCTTTCTCAATGATTCTAAATGTTATATTAATTCACCATTTGATCAAGGATTAGTTTATCAGAAGTACATTTCCTCTTCCATAAAACATAGGTTTGAGAAATGAATGTTCCAATATGAAATCAATTGCTCAATTTCTCAATATAATTTGACTCTTCCCTCTCTTTTCTTACATATTGTCACATATGAAATAATAACTTAGGAGTCTATTTAAGCATGGTATTGTCTATATAAGCTATTAATCGAGAAAACTCAGAGTCAGTATGCAACTCGCAAATATCTCTCCTCCTTCCTATCCCTCTCTTCCACATCTCCCTCTCATCTCCCTCTTTACTCACTTCCCCATCTCTTTCTATTGTCTCTTTCTCATCCCTCTCTCTTCTTCATCTCCCTCTTTACTCACTTCCCCATCTCTTTCTCTCTTACTTCTGTTAGATATGAAGTAAAAACATACAAGTCCATGTAAGCATCTGAGTTACCACTGAAGGCATAGCATAAATCACATCTCCACGTGCAGTGCTGCATAAACATGGCTGAGTCAGCGATAACTCTCGAGGGGTGGAGGTATGCCCATTATTTTGAGTTCGTCCGAAGAATAGACAGGAATGTGACGGTGAGGTGCAAACTGTGTCCAGGCCAGAAGCTGTTATCCACTGCTGGAAACACCACGTGGTCAAACCTCAACAAGCACCTGCAAAGAACACATGCTAAGGTGAAGCTAACGCACAGCTATTAGTTGTTTGTTTATATCACGCAGTCTGTTCTTCTTCTCTGTCTTCCGGTTGTTGCCTGTTTTGAATGACAAATACACACTACCGCCATGGATGTACAATAAGAACCGGATACAGCGTGGGAGGCGGGGCCTCATTAATTCCTATGAGAGCTGCTCATTAGCGCATGATGATAAAATGGCCCAACTTTTGAGAGAGTGAAACGTCACAGATTACCCAGCATGCCTGAGAAGTACCCGTATGTGCAATCATAGCGCATGCGCAACTTTAACCAAAATGCTCGTTCACATCAAGCACGTCAATTTGCGTACACGTAACAGCACCGCCCGTTCATGACAGCATGGTAATGGTTTGTTGTTATCATGGATTTGATATGAACGAGGCGGCAGTTAGCAGCTAGCGGCTAGCTAGTAATTATGCTAATGTACACATCAATCGGTATGTACTTATATTACGCTGTCACAGGATCTAGTGATATCCAACAGAGCTTCATCTAGCATGAAATTATTATTGCACTGTATATATATATATATATATATATATATATATATATATATATATATATATATATATATATATATATATTTATATACAGTGCAACAAGCTTCCTAGTGCAATACGAAGCTACAGGGACGTTAATAATGTCGGTAATATTATCTTTATTTAATACAACATTTACGGTACAAGATTTAATCATACAGCCCATGTAGTATGACAATGAATTACAGCAAACATGTGCAATATATCCATTATTACAGCTCCGTGGGATGGCAGTAAGACGATATGGATCCGTTCTTATCCATGGGTAAAGATAAACGCAACTCACATTGGTTCCTCATACAGCATCTCTGTAAACTACGTGTATTCACTGAATTTCACTCTCTGCCTTTAACGGCTCGTTGTAGCTCCAATAGCTCCAGCCCCACCCTCCCTGTGAGCACAGTGTGCTCTGATTGGTCGGGACACGTAACATGAACGTGCCGGGCGGCGCGGTCCCGTGGGTTAGATGCGCGTTCATAATGCAGAGGGAAATAACTCTCAGAATAACGTTATTAGCAAATTTTTTACAACTTGAGGAACGAATGTTTTTAATAAGGGCTATACAAGTGTTCATACTGGGTAGTTTATTTAGTTTAAAAAAATTATCCAACGAGTTACAGACCACTCTTTCCCCATGTAAGTCAATGGAAAAAGTGTTTCCGGGCCTGGCAACCAAACGGAAATGTAGTACCGCCGTTTGGCCAGCACGAATATTTTCATCTGAGTCCGGCGCACTTCCTGGGGGTTTGACTACCGCCGCCTGCTGGTAAGGAAAGTGATTGCCACTCACGCATGCGCAGTTTGTACGTGCTCGGCGAGTAAAGTAACGAGTAAAGTAACGAGTTACTTTATGTAGATAGTAACGAAGTAGTGTAATATATTACATTTTTAAAGTAATACATTTATAATTTATAATTTGTAGTTCAGGACCATGGACAATGCAGCTTCCTTGCATTGACAGTTGTCTGTGCTAAATTTCTGCTGAGTTTCCTTTGCCTCATTTTCTATTTTGTGACCTGTCTGGTGTAAATGAGTGTGTTGCTGCTTTGATGAAGCCTAATTTGATAACGTTTCAAATTAATTTCGGAAATATTTCGTAATATAGTTGTCTTTGTCACATTTTATTTGGCATTAGTAAATAATTATGCACATTTACAGATATTTTACATGATATGAGTGATAACACGTGTTATAAGCAGTGTTGTGCTAGTTACTGAAAACCAGTAACTAGTTACCATTACTAGTTACTTCATTTCAAAAGTAACTCAGTTACTTCAGCGATTACTTACACCCAAAAGTAAGGCGTTACTGTGAAAAGTTAAGTTTTCGTTACTTAAAGAAGGCTCCCAAAAAAACAAAAACTCCCATTAACCTCTTAGGCCCCACGGACCCGAAATCGCGTCATTTGCAGGAAACAACGTCTAAGTAACCTTCATATTTAATAAAATAATAAATATTAATAAATAAATATTTTATATCCATATAACGGGAAAAAACTCATTTAAATGATCTTTTTCATTTAAATACACACAATGCTAACAGTGAGCCTCTGAATTAGCCCCAAGCGAAAAATGCTAACCTATTACGGCACCGAAAAACACTCCTAGCTCCCTTATCACTTATCCTAGCTGCACATCCAACACATCGTTTATGATCGCAAGGAGACACAGAATCTAACGGTGCCCACCTCAACACTGAAAGATACAAACTTGCGACGTTATCAACAAAAACGTACATCAAAACAAGTGGTGTTAGGTAGCCTACAATGCTAAAATGGCTTACCTTGGTTTTGCCTGGTCAAAACTGGTCTTCAATGGCATTAAAACGATAACAACGATGATGTAGTTAATCCATAGGTTAATATCCAATGTGGCTGTGTCCCCTTTGAAATGTTCTGAGAATCTATAAGCAATAAAACTGCAATTCCGTTTTAAAAGAGTAGAGCTTCATTGAATGCGCGAAGAAGCCATCTTTTTTTTTTTAACATGAGTGTTAGACGATTTCCCTTCGATTATATTGGCTCTGACGGTTAGAAAGAGATGTCACATGTCAAAATCGAAGAAGGGGGGCCAGAGATATGGAAAATCCACCCAAATGGCTCCAGAAGAGGTTTATTTTTGCTAAATCTGTCTAAAAAGGTCAAATATCACTTGTTTTGCATCAATCTTGATACAGGGTAGTTATTATATGTTGTACTTTGGATTACTAAAGCTTTTAGTCTACTAACCCATCATCCAAGGTTAGTTTTCACTATAAGTACAACATGTTTTTTGGACGGACACTATAATTTACAGTTTTTTACCATGTTAATTTACAATTTTCTTTAAAATAAAAAACATCTATATTGATTTTGACTCTTCTACATCCAACTCACAGGTTTATCATTACTTTGAGATCAAAGATTATTAATTTAACCCTTTTAGAAGATATGGTCATTTGTTCTGGGAATGTCATTTTCGAGCCTGAAACCTGAAAAACAGGCATGGGGCTTAAGAGGTTTTAATGCCCTTATAGCCTTCATTTCAGTAATGTTATTGTATTGGAGAATAATACAATCTGTTGATCAACTTGACATGCATTTGCATCACTGAACTCTGCTAAGCAATGTGGTCTATACAAACACAAACACAAAGATATGTTTCAAAGTACCAATTTATTTCAGGCCAGAACAAACTGACAAAACTTTAGTTGCCTGCAATTTACAGGTCTAGTCTGCCATAATGAACACAACATAGCTGTAAACCTGTTATGGTGGATCTGAACACACTCAACAATACACACACTAACATTCCCAAGATCAAATACAATCTGAATATATTATTCAGAATCAAGTTGGAAAAAATGATGTACTTTCACACCAAATGCTGGTACAGACAAGACAACCATAAATGCATTAAAACAAAAAACATCAGCTCCTCAAAAATGAAATCTACAAGCAATACCATAAAATAAGAGTTGTATGCCGGCTTTTCTGAAACTAATGGAAAGTAAGCTGAATATATTGTTCAGAATCAAAGTGCAAAAATTAAAGTGCTTTCAGCACCATATAGAGGCAACTGCTGTTGTAGTCCAACAAAATAAGTATAACAAAAGTCAGTGTTTTTCCTTTAGTTCAAGTATGAAATCCAGCAAGCATACAATAAGTGTTTTGTAATATATATAACAGAAATTAAAGTGCTGTTGTGTCGCTGTGGCACACACACAGATAACAAATGTGGGCCTAGTTAATCAAAACAACAAAAAGTGCTTATTGGCAAAGACCTGAATTAATGTTTGAGTGGAGGTTTAGCTTTCGAACCAGTGGTTGTACCTCATGAGAAGCAGCTTCTCAAACCTTTGGTCAGACAGCCTGTTCCTCTTTGGAGACAGTACCAGACTTCCCAGACTGAAGAGTCTCTCAACTGGTGCACTGGATGGGGTAGCTGCATTTAGCTTCAGACAAATTGCCTTTATTGTGGGAAATGTTTTGAGAATCTCCATGCCTGTTTCGGCTGTTTTCAAGTAGGCCATTACCTCAGTTTCCACAGTGCTGAAGGTTTCATCGTCATCCTCAAAGCAAAAAAAGTCCTGCTCTTTGTCTTTGGAGGAGCCTGAGTCTGGTGGTGTTGTCGGAGACACAGGATTCCTGGCTGGTTGCTGCTCAGGGCCAGGGAGAAACTTGTGACACTCTGCTGCCAGGATTCCCTTGACCATCTCTTTCTTCCTCTGGTCTCTCACCCACCGTAACTTAAACTTGGGAAGTGTGACGGCTGCCAGCATTGCATTGTTGCTTTCCAAGACGGATGCAAATCGTTTTTTGATAGCCTGTAAAACATACACACAGTGACACAGACATTAGAATAAGTGAGATTCCTTTTTATTTATTCATTTTATTTGTGTACATTTCCATGAAAGCTGCACACCACCAGGTGATTTTGAACTATAGTTATGAGTTATTAAATCATTTAAACTAAAACTTTATTTAGCCAAAAAAAAGTATTACTATTTATTTCTGTTGCACCCTGGAGTCGAGTTTATACATTTCAGTCAGTTTATCAATATGTTCAAGACTTATTGTGTCCCTGAGAATGCATTGAAAACTACTTTTTGCACATTTCATCCATTTTATTTGGCTATATTAGTGCTCTCTCTCAGCTAACAATATTAATGACATCTATTCTATAGTTGCAGTCTTTCTCTACAGTGAAGAGGGAAAACCAGATAATTACAAAAGTGTTGATGAAAGTTTCTTACCTGAACTATGGCTTCAGGTAGGCCAGTTGCTACAGTCAGACTGTCTTTCATCTCCAGGGTCTTTGACATTAATGTTTCTAGAGTGGGCAGGAGGGTGCCAAAGTAACAGTTGTCCTCTCCTTGCAGGATGTCCAGAGCAACTGTGAGTGGCTTCATTATGGCACAATATTCCTTCAGAAAATGAAGTTCCCTGTCGCTAATAGATTTTAGCTGCAAACGATCAGAGATGGCACTCAAGTCAATCATAGGCATTTCAACAATTCTTGCCACAGCATCATAAAATGAATTCCATCTTGTAGTGCATGGCACAAGCAACTTTTTGGTGAATACGTCGCTCACTATCTCTGAGGCCACTGTGGACCTGCTTGCCTTATTCCACAGTGCTGTGCACTTAGCTGTAGAGCTTCTGTAGATTCCTTTAGTCCCAGGATTTGAAAGGAGCCACTTCAACATGTCAGCGCATGAAATTAAATTTAGTGTGTGAGATGCACATCTTTGGTGCGGAGGTAAAACAATCCCTTCCTCTGCGGCGGTGTTAAGCACATCTGCAACATCAGTGAAGATAACCTCTTCTTCATCATCGTCGTCAGAGAGCGATTCCGGTTGATACATGGCAAAGGCTTTCACAAAGTTAGAACCGTTATCAGTAACCGTGGAGGTAACTTTTGTTGACACTCCATACAAAGAGTGAATGTGGTCAATTTCACTAGCAATAAGATCGTACGTGTGCCTACCCTTTATCCTTTTACAGGCCAACGCAGCTTTCTGGCGTTGTAAAGTGGTGGGGTTTATCCAGTGGAAGCTTCTGTTGTGGACAGACCAAATGTCTGCGGTGGTCGAGATGTATTCCAGCCCCTCAAATGTTTTCTTTAGCTCGCTTTCCATTTTGGTATATTCTTTCTCCAGGTAGTTGGAAAACATTTTGCGTCCCATATGCCGTGTGCCGCCCGGACATGGTATCATGCCAACTAGCTCCCTGAAAGCGGGTGACTCCACTGTAGAAATAGCCTGCACGTGTTCAACAACATACCGTGCAATGGCTTTATCCACTTTCACCTGGCTAGCAGTCCCTCGGTTGAAATCCAACCGCTGTTGCTTGGGTGGAGGTGGAGTGGCGTCGGATGGCTCTGGCTCTGGGTCTGTGGTCTTAGCTACTAGCTTCGTCCCAGCATGTTGTTTCTGCAGATGTTTTAACAGATTGGAATTGCTGTTTTGAGAAGTAGATAGGATCTTTGACCCGTAAAGACACAACTTACACTTAACTACCACGTTCTTTTCTTTATGCTCGAGAAAAGTAAAATAGTGAGCATATCTCCATACGGAGAAACTCGACTTGTGCTCCGCCGTCGCCATGATAGTATTGTTGGTAGGCTAACTAAACACAAACACACCCACAGCGCGTCTCCGCATGTGACACAGGAAGTATTTAAGTAGATTTACTCAAGTACTGTACTTAAGTACAGTTCTCATCTCTGTTCGCCTGGCTGTTGACTATAGAAAAAAACTAACGGAGTAACGCACCATGTAGTAACGGTAACTGAGTTACTGAATTTAGAAAATAACGCGTTAGAGTACTAGTTACTGCCAAAAGTAACGGCGTTACAGTAACGCGTTAGTCCCAACACTGGTTATAAGGGCTATTTTTTTTTCACAATAGGTGTGCCTTGAGATTTTTACTTGTCCTTTGGTGTGCCCTGGGCACAAAAAAGTTTGGGAACCACTGGCATAAATGATAGTGGGCGTCTGAGGGTGTCATTACTGAGAAATGTCAAAGAAATTCAAAACCTTACATTTGAAAACAGGTTTGCATTCCTCCACTTAAGGTGACGTTATCATTGGAAACAATAAAAACGAACTATTTTGATGTAGAATCTATAAATTGAATCGTTAGAGCAGAACAAAATGGTTGTATTGTAGCCTGAGTTCCGTGCAGCCTCTAGTTTCAACAGGTGGAAACATGGTCCATATAATGTGAATACATGCAGAAGTAGACAGTAAGAGGCCCCTGACATTAGGCCTATTTTTTAAAATAGTAGGGGCTCTTCACTCTGCATAGCAGTATGAATAGCCTTAAAAAACAAACAACCCACTCCGTGGTAACGAGTCATATTTTCTGACCCATATGCCCTAAGTGAAGCCGTTAGTCTCATCTAACTGACCCAAGGGTTGGTGCTGGTGTGACAGTTCCAAGTGTTCAGAGCAGACGTCAAGCTTTCAGTTCATGGCTCGGTGGGGGGGGGGGAGCAGACCCATGTGAGACAGTATCAACGGCTGTAAAGTCCAGTTTGAGGCCCGTCATTCTCTCTGGGAGCAGGAAATGGTGCCCATTCTCGGACCAAACCATTAATGTCATGTAGAGCAGCCATAGCATCTCTGTGACTGCACTCAGCCGGACTGTAGCAGGGTAGAACTGGGTGACTCTTAGTGAAGCTGTCCAACGCCATTAGACACAATGGAACCACGTGCTAACAAAAAGGACACAGGGTCATCAATGTCTCTCTTTACCATTGGCCTAATCATAAACAAATTAGTGGGAAAAATGTGGAACACTAATCCATCATGTGGAATGTTGAGTTAATTTAAATAATTACTTATGGGTTGAAATCAAAATTAACATTAACATTAGAACTAAAGTCAGTTAAAAATTGGACATGCACAGATCAGTAATCAATACACCATTTTCCCAGCTCTGTGATGAAAATAATAACAAGCAGGGATGCAAACTTGTCATCTTTTGGCGAAATTTGCCGTTTTGAATCCAAAATAGGTCGTTTGTGTGATTCATGTAGATCTGCAATAAAATATTATTGGGGTATGGGCAGGGTTGCTAACTTTGGGTACCTGGCTGGAGTGAGATTTTGATATCATGGGTTTAATTACACGCATGCGCACGAAGTGACTGCTATCGTGTCAGTAGCGGGACCTTAGCATATATTTCGGATATATATATATAATATATATATACAAATACACAATATTGGACACAGACAATAAAGGGCACACAGTTTCATTCACTAATGAAAGTCAAACACATGTTTGTTTCCACTGTTTTATTGTGTGCCTGTCGCGATAAGCAATTAATTGACTTATCGGCTCCCGAGTATTTGCGATATTTGCGTTGGGTAATCTATGGTAGGGCTAACCCATACAGTGGTGGGGCTCAAATCAGCATTAGAAATGTAATTACATACACTGCTCCCTTGACAGTGAAACGCCACGCGTGAAGTTTAGATTATTTCCCTGTCTCAATCCAAATTGAAGTGTATGAAATAAAAAGGCACATTTGTCTTGTAGTAAATAAAAAGGGCGACCTGGAGGCAATCCTGCCATTTCCTCAAAAGTGAAAGAGTTGACATGCTAAAAACCCAACCCCCGCTTGGGGTCTGGGGGGATTCTCCCCCAGGAGATTTTTTGAAGTACTAACATAAAATACACATTCTCTCTTGAGAGGAAAAAATAAATCCATCTATTACTACACGACATATTTAAATGAAGCTGAAACTGCTGCTCCTCCCATAGGGAAGAGGCTGTGTGAATTACTTTGAATTACCCCATTGTTCTGTGTGTCAAAATGGAAGGTTTCTGGCTAACGTTAGCTTAGGTACTCAGATCTTGTTCTTGAGTAAAAGTAGGAGTACCAGAGTGTAGGAATACTAAGTTACAGTAAAAGTACTGCATTCAAAATGTAACTCAAGTAAAAGTATAAAAGTATTGTCATCAAAATATAGTGAAAATAGCGACAGTAAAAGTAGTCACTGTGCAGATTGGTTTATTTCAGAATACTATATCTGATATGTTTTATAATGATTGATCATGAAAGTGTTCTCAAAGCTGGTAAAGGTGCAGCTAGTTTGAATGGCTTTGTATACTGCAGGGTAGCTTGTGGATTTACTCCAGGTGGAACTAAAGTCTGTTCAACACTTGATTATATTTCACATCATTCATCCACATCTGAAAGTAACCAAAAGGTATTAAATACATGTAGTGGAGTAGAAATACACCATGTACCACTGTACTGTAGTGGAGTAGAAGAATAAAGTAGCAAAACATTTAAATACTCAAATAAAGTACCAGTATCTCAAAATTGTGCCCAAGTATAGTACTTGTTGAGTTTATGAATTTAGTTACTTAACACCAGTGGCTATACAGATAGAAAGACTAAGCTTTGCAGAGGCATGAAAATACATTTTCAAAATGCTCAACAGTTCTGGCAAAAAAAAAAAAACTGACTGCTGAAATTAGATCTTCCTTTGTGCTCAGGCCATAAAACCTCCAACGCACCGTGCTGTGGTCTGCTTCAGATTATCTTTTCCTTCCAGAGGTCACGCCTGTCTCTGACCCCGTGTCTTGCGGTTTTTTTATTTATTTTTTATTCTGCAGCACCAAGCAGAGTAAAGAAAGGAGGGGATTTTGACTAGAAATAATTTGAAACAGTTTAATAAAGAATGTTGAACTATATTTAAAACTGTAATTGAACTTCAACTTGTATCAATTTTCCAATTCCAGTGGCCAGTTGGAAACAGATAATGAAAAAGTTTTCATTTTGCAGCAACCGTGCAAAAAGGTTCAATCACCATTATGTCTGAGTCATTCTGCTTTGTTTCGGAATGTGTTCAATACATTACGTTTTTTATTTTCATTATTACCATACAATACATAGATTAAGAATAAATGAAACAAATAATACAACATTGACCTATTTGAGCAGACAGATGACCCGCAGTGATGCCTCTGAGGTTCCCGGGTGTAAGACAGACGCAGGACATAAAAACAGTCTTTTGCTATTTATTTTCCTTTTGCGGAAATTTAGATTACAATGTATAATTTTGCTTTACATCCCTACATCATCCATTTTTAATTTGTTCTCAAGTCATTTACTTTTGGTGAGATAACTAAAGTTTAGTTCATTTTACCTTGGCTGTGGACTGATTCATTATTAGTTGTTACAAAGCATGCACAAGACGGCGGGTAGACAAACAAACACGAAACAATTATACAAACAAACATGAACCCGCAACAAATATCAGGTGACAGCTAAACTCATCCAGTTTAATTTAATCCGAATTAGGGAAACTTCAGCGGGGGTAGGGAAATATCTGTTTAATATGAGTGCCTTCTTACCCATATATACTTGTACAAGTGCTAAGAACGGAATCTGCTGAAGAGTAATAACCACATTATTCTCAATCAACAACCACTATGCG